TAAGAAAATTATCGCAGAAGAGGGAAAGGAAAAATAGAGTCTTATCCTAGATCTTTAGATAGATTAAAGGTCCAGGAATATGGATAAAGAAATAAATGATCGTCGCCGTAAGATACTCCGCTAACCCACCTACTTGCCTCATAATAACTATTCATCGAAAATGTCCGATACCCGTATCAACAACCATCATTAGAGATTATTTTTCTCAAATTTTTCGCTGTAATTATTCTATCGACTTTGATCTTTTCCAATCTGGCTAGCGACATGAGACCCATTCAATAAGAAATCATTTGCGGACGGATACACGAGCGAGTCACACACGAAATGCGAGTTTGCAGATTTATTCTCGCCAGTGTACAGGAATCCAGTTCATGACAATTACCTTCAGTCGATGCAATATTATGGCATGTCATTCGACATGCCATTGTTCTAAAAACTTAGACGAAAGAGATTTTCATTGCATTATGATGAAAACCTTATAAAGCGAAAATCAAAATCTTCAATATATGGCAAATCATTCTTTTTCTTCTTAGAAAAGTCGAGAACCAATGAACTTAAAAAATTTTTTTTTCGTCAAAGAAATTGTTGAAGACATAATTTTGGTAAAAATATTCGATAAGCGTGATGTTTTGAACTGAGTAATTAATGATAGGTAATCGATAGACAATTTGGTGATATCTAATTATGCACCAGTCGTTTCTGATTATCGTTGGATCAACGAAATGTTATTAAAACTGAACAGCATTCAATAAACAAGCACTACAGGCACTCAAATTTGCAAGTGAAAATGAGAATCTTCATCGAGCTCTCATGGAAAATATCCTAGACTTGAATGTCTAGATAACATTTTTGACTCTTCATCAAGGAGCTCCTCGATTATTTGGCTTGTTTTTTTGCCGTTAAAGTTAAGAGCGAAAGAGCGCAATTTTTGGCATGGGATTGAACGGGGTGGTACTGTGTTCTCTTATCCCCAAGAGGATCTCTGATGAAAGTATTTATTTCACTTTAATAACTAATGAAACCATACAAAAAAAATAAATTCTTTTAGAAGAAAAATGTGACAAAATAAGAGGAAAAGTCCATTAAATATAAAGTTTAAATCGGATAATTCTTTGAAATAATTTTTTCTTTTATAGCAGTGGCTTTTCTCATGTAGGTGAATGCGGCACATATTAATAATAACTTACAATTTTTTTTATCATAGAATTTTCATTTTATTTTTTTGAATATATTTTAGCTTTCCTTACAAAACTTTTTGAAACTTTTTAATAATATTTTTACCATTATTTTTGATAAATTTTCATTTTTAAAGTTTCGATCGTTTCATGGACAAATTTGTAACGATTTTATTTATTTTATCATTGAAATTCGTGAACTCGTGAACTATGATGATAGTCCCATGGAATTTATGTTCTTATGGATATTTTGGAAAAGTTTTGCGTTTTATTTTACTGGCAATGCTTTCGTGTATTGAGAATTCTTTGGGAATCTTGGGAAATTTTTAGAAGTTGATTTGCAGACCGAAAATGACCACGTTTGTCGTATTTTTATTAGGAAAATTATGTTTTTCATGGCTAAATGTTTCATTAAAATGTAGGAAGGAATAGGTAAAAAGCAACATCCGATACTATCCTCGCTGAAAATGATTATATTAGCTAAATGTCAGGAGGAACAAAACTCAGTGGTTATGAATTTGGTTGATGTAATTCACTTCTATCGCTAATATTATGTTCCAATATTTTTTTTTACGTATTAATCTGTAACGGTACTAAAGCGCATCAAATTTATCCTAAACAAACTAAACGAAAATAATGTTTCCAAAAAATGACAATGGTCTTATCCAAATAATAATGCATGATTCATAACTGCACAAAATTTCATTGAAATACAAATATTTATATGTGCAAACGTATACTTACTTTTGCGCTATCATCATGAAAAAATATATAATTTAGACAAGTATTATCTGATAAGAGGCAAAGTAACACTCTGGCAAAATTTCTAATGTCCAAAGGAACTTAACCAGAAATGGTACGAGTCAACCACTTATTTTTTCATACCAAATCGCAAAAAAATCTGTTAATTTATGAAAATTTGTAGCAGAGGTTGATTATAAATATTTTTGTGTGCGATTGTCCGTAACAAATAAATTGTTTCGTAAAATAATTTATATTTGGAGAATGCCAAAAAATTTTCTCAAATTTCGCGAATTCCAATCGAAAAATAAAATCCTTTTTTTGTATGACAAATCCTTCATAGCGATCTTTCATTCGCATCATTTAAAAATATTTCATCGAATTATAAGCGCACTAATAAAAAATTAAATTTTATTATATTACTTTTGTAATTTTTTGTAAGAAAGGAATTTCACTGATTTCCTTTTTATTTCTAAGGAAAAATGTAACCTTGATGTGTTGAAAGGAGAAAAAAATTTGAAATTAGGAAAGACTGAAAAAAAAGACTGAAAATTTTAAATTTTTTAACAATCAAACTTTTCGCAAATCGAAACTAAAGAAATTAGGGAAAAAATTTAGTCAAGATTTATGATAAGAATATTGGTAAATTATAGAATCATCGACTGTGTTCATTAATTATTAACCAATTTTCATATCAATGAAGACGAAAAATGGCAAAAATGGTCAAATACGGTCTCCCGCAAAATTATAGGATAAAAAACTTCGAATTTTCTATATATAATTGCGAACGAATGAAATGGATGTTGGTCGACAGATTGATAGCAAAAGAGTTGATAATCCTGTAAGATATTTTCAACTTCACTTCATGCTCAAATTCATGTAACCCTTCGGATTTCGTAATTTTTGCTAAATAAATGGTTCGATACGAAAGAAAGAAAGTTTCGCACGAAATTCCTTTTTATGAAATCACTTTTTAAAAAAGAATACTGTATTCTAAATGTGTTGGAGGCAGTGTGACTCATATTGCTTCCACTAAGATCAACTTATAGATTGAGACATATGATAGGAATAAAGCTATTATTAAAGGTGAAGTCCATAGGCCCACGCACCTATGCTTTTATCCTCAAGTGACCCTCAAATGAGGAAAACTTTTTTCTGTCTTTAGAAATTATTATATGAATTATTAATTATTAATAATTAGAACAAATGGTGAATCAGAAACAGTGAATGCTGTTAGAAATGCTTTGAACAAGAAAATCTCAGAAATGATATTTTTTTAAATGAACATTTCCTGACGACATAAAATTTCCCTAATCAAACGACCAATAATAGGAAAATACCTAAAACCTCATCTCAATTTTCTCAATTTTTTATCAATTAATCAAAATTGCATCTTAAAATACTTTACATTGATGACTAAAACTAACAGTGACGACCAAAATTACACTATATGAAGCTAGGGACAAAAATCGCAGCACCCAGTTTAACGTGGAAAACAATCTGGAATTTAAATGACGACAATATGAGGGAAAATAGTTCCCAAAAAAAACCAGGCTACAAAAGCCACAGCACAACGAGGGACATACACTCATCTGAAATAATTCAATGTTTTATAATGGTAAAACTGGCGAAAATCATTGCACATTGAAGTCAATGATCACATCGATCCTGCTGTCTCAAATAACTGATATAAATTTGTAATATTATCTTTGAATTGTTGGAAAAAAAGAATTCATGAAAATCGATGCAATTATATTAAATCATAGAATATGCCATTCTAAATGAAACACTTGATTGACTTCTTGTCAATTCCATATGACTTCTTTTCTAATTACATCTCACGATTAAATTTCTTTTTTTTTGAATAGCTCTTTTTTGTTTGATTACAATTTAAAATTCAAGGTCTTCCTCAATAACCAGTTTTTCATTTTGAAGGATTTTAAATCCAAATTGATAACAGAAGAATAAACAGCTCCATACAAATTTTTCTTCCATTCATAATCTTTCTTAATTATTAAAAGATCTACTTTTTAAAACGGTTCTTCCATTTTTATATTGCCATATTGACCTATATACACCACTGGTTCCCCCTCAATAATCCCATGTATCATTTTTCAATAAATATATTTGCTTTCACAACTATTTTAGTTTTTCTGTTAACGTTTGTTTTTTTTTTCTTCTTGCTTTCATTTAACACTGCCTAAAAAATAGTTTAAGCATTTTTCGCTTCTCAGTGGCCTTAATAAATTTTATTAAAAGAAAAATATTGTACTAAATTTGTTCCAACAGCAATGCAACGTGCAAATTAACTTGTACTAAATTTGTTCCAACAGCAATGCAACGTGGAAATTAAACTAAATGTCAATTTTATGTTAACTACGAACTTAACCACCGATAATTTCATCATTCCATTAAAAATATGACAAAACCTGTCGCAAAAAATTTACTTACTTTCCTGTGATTTTAGCCACCGTGCAAATTCTATGCAATGCAAGCCCCCATGCTGTATAATGGGATTGTTAAAAGCACGAACGTTTTAAAACCACATTTTCGGAAAGAATTTAGAGGTCCACATTTTCACTTTCATTTTTCATTTCACTAATAAATTCACATAAACGGAAAAACTGGAAAATTATACATTTTTAAAATCTGCAAAATAATTTAAGAAAAATATTATTTTCAATCAAAGATTAGGGATATTCATTATCATGGTCCATCCGACCTAATTTGTAAAGGATTAAAAAATAACCATTATAAATGCACAATGAATATTAAAGAATAATTCATTAGTGCTAATATTTAATAAAATAAAGGAAAATTAGAATAAAAAGGAAAGATTTTACAAATAGCAAACTGAAGAGATAGACGGCACAAGCAAACATAAATCCCTCCTAATCACTTGCCTTATAACCTGTAAAGCGCTCAGAATTTAAATATATATGTATATGTGCAATAATAAGGTCATAATTATAAGTAAAAGGAAATTATGCATAATGAAAATAATACAACAAAAAAAAAATAAAATATGGAATGAGCTATTAGGACAAATTCATTTCACGAAGACAGTGACGCAACCCATGTTCTTCATAACTTTGCTTTGATATCCAGAAATCCTATAAAAAATTGCTTAATATATAGACTAAACAGCAAGAAAATTTTAAAAAAAATTAAAAAGTTTACATCTCGATCACGCATTAACTGTGCAAGAACTGCGCCTCCTAAGAAAACAATGTGTTTACGACGAGGTGGGGCCTCAATTCGAATTTTGACTTTCTGAAAAAATATTCAAAGAAAAAATATTTTAAAAAATGAACGAAGGGAGAACTTGAAATGAATACAAATTCGTTTTTAGGTAAAATAAAAAAATAATGAAAAATATAAAATCTGACGATATTCATTTACAGTAGAATCACAAAATAAAATATAAAAACTTTGAACGATTCAGTATTCCCTTTCAATACTCTTTCCAAATATAATTGTTTCAATTCTCTTTCTAAACGACTTGGTAACCCAGGGTACATCGTTGTCCCACCAGATAAAACTATCTGCTTGTAAAATTCCAACCGAGTATCTAAAATGTATGTTAAAAGATAAAAACACAACACATAACTTTCTATAACTTAACTTACTATAACTTACACTACAACTTTCCTCTTTATCTAGCAGTGTGCACCATTTCTGGTTTATTTAATAGTAATTATTAGATAAGATGCTTCAACAACTAATTTTCTTCTTTTTCTGCTCCTAACAGCTCTCACCACTACTGGTTATGCTGGCTCCAACGGCTACAAGGGTAAGACGCTTCCAAGCGGTATGGTCTGATGCCATCGTCGATAGTAATAGAAACCATTCCTTTTTCCATCATCTAAGTTCATATATTGCTCGTCCATCTATACGTTCAAAATCTTTTACAACCACAACTAATAAAAGTAAAGGGGAAAGCAAAGGGACAACTAAGGGATAACAATTAATTTTACAATAATTGCTAAGGTTTGATGTTAGATGATCAAAATTTATAATGGCTCTTAAATAAGTTAATTATTAAACAAACACTCATGAACTAAATGATAAATGATATTTATATTCACAGAGTAGTAACCGATCATGTTCTAGGCGTCGTATTGTACTACATATTCTAATATTACTATCGATTATCAATTATTCTAGTATTTTCTGAAAAAAATCTTGCGAATATTAGGATTCTAAGATGCTAAAATTACTACAGTGCTAGTAAACGCATTCTTTCAAGTTCTAAAATAAGTCGACTTAAGTCGAGTAACTTTTAAATATAAATAGTAGAATAAAAAAATTTTTTATAAAAAAATAAAAAAATAAAAAATTTTTTTTCTTTTCATTTTATTCTTTCCTATAAATTATCTTAATGGTTTCATAATTAATGCAATTATGAAATTATCTTTTTGTCTAGACAAGAGTTAATCTATCATTAAAATCAAATCCTAGAGACTCATCTATATCATTACGCACAAGTGAATCTATGGCGAATGGACTAAGTAAATCGTAAACGAGATCGGCATCCTACGATGCGCATGATTAACTCACTAGTACATGCGATAAATATGCGAAACGGAATCGGACACAGCAATATTATAAACGAGCATGTGAATTCTGAGCTGAGGGAATCGCTTTCCCTCATTTAAGGAAGTCAGAAAAATGTCGCCAGCTCACGAGTGCATTTGGAGATTTTTGCTGTAGATGTGTGGAACATTTGAACTGTCATGAATATTGGAAGCCAGACAATAATCAACTACGCCCTATACAAATATCATGTGGATCCCACTCGCCTGCCAGAAATTTGTCTCCCTAATTCTCGGCCCAGAGCAGTGACTATATCCGGTTCGAATAACAACTACTGGTTAGACCACAGTAGTGTTTCGGAAGTTTAGAGAAAACTGGAATCATGATTATCATCTCCAAAAGAGCATAATCAGCTCTAATAGTATGGAACTCTGTTTATAATCGGTAGGCCTATGCCTATGAATTTTGCAATATCTAGATTGTAAGTATTTATTTCTTACGCTTTGCATAGATAATCTGAATAATTATAGATGCTATGTCGAAAGAAGCAGCATCTCTCCAGAAAAACCATAACTGTTGGAGACTGAAATAAGCAGGACGTGAGGGTGGGCAAGTATGGCGCTGGGATCCCGCGTTGGAATCTTCTCCATTGTGATAAGCAACATAATATTTTATCAACAAGATTTGAAAGACATTACGTGGACTAGCCAAACGAACAACACTCGAATCAATTTGATATATTTTGGCCAATCAGTAAAAAAAAAGTTCTGTGCATAAGTTGGATCAGAGAATGTCGGAATAAAACTGTTAAAACCAATAACACGAGAAACCATCCTCTGAAATCTTCTAATTACCTCAAGTTAAAAGATTCAAGAGTATTCAATAAATCTCAAACTGAGGTAACATGTAGAGGACTTTATCAACGTTGATATCTCTGCAGCTGCTGAGAAATATTGATGATAGATGGAGCCCTGCCTCCAAGAGTCAGCTAAATCCTCCACAAGACATACGACTCAGAAGACAAGCTGGATCTAGATACGGCTCAGTAATTCAATTGCATCACTGTGCGATTGTCGGGAGATGCTAATTATTGGCAGTTCCGCAGAAATCACAACGGTTCTGGGAGATTCTTGCCTCTGTTCATGGAAGTGCGCGATAATTGACTGTGGACCAAACTTCCACGCTGACTGTGGCTGTGGACCAAACTTCCACGCTGAGAAGAGCATTAGATCATTAAATCAATATAAATAAGACAAAAAAGACAAAACTCTTTCCGGCTTATACACCAGACACCAATATAAGGTCGATTAAAATAAATTCATCAACAGACGACGACTTTAAGTATAAAATGTCTCATCCATTCTCAACAATAATGGCCAAGCGATAAATAAAATTTCATGAGAGTAGAAGATATCAGAAGGCCACCCGCACTTTGACCATTCTAAGATACATCCTATACATACCAGCCAAATGAAAGTTTCACATGATAGTATCCACCTTCGCTCAAATATCCCTGCATTAAAAGTATCGTAAAAGAAAGTCGTTTTCGCTGATTTAGCAAAAATCTTCATCGTACACCAAATAATATTTAGGCACATTTCGCTACTGACTAAACTCTGTGAAGGATAGCGTGAAAAGTATGGAAGGTAAATTGACTCTGAATTGAAGCCAGGAGAGACTTTGAACGTATTAGCAACCCACTGATATATGTACTTGGGCAATGAAAAATGAATGGCTTTAGTTCTTCTCAGGGCTGGCATCAGCAGGACTGGAAACTTCCCTATTATTCTCTTCCTCTCGTCATTGGAACAAGCCAAATCAGCCGTAGAACGGGCTGATAAAAAAAGAATGATGATGCAAAAACATTGATAATCCAAAAAAGCCTAAAAAATTAAACCAATATCAGCAGACTGGATAACACCAAATAAAAGTTCACTAAGTCCAGGCCTTTCACTGTCAATGAGATGCGGCTGAAACAGCACTTCAGGAGCCTCAAATCTTTCGCCAGCAACTCTGATTACTCTGCCATCAGGTAGCTAAAATTTTATTTATTGCGCAAAAAAAATTACCTCTGATTCATTTTAGGTAAACAACGATAAAAATTTCGTTTTTTAAATGTAATCTGCTTTAAAACAAAGAGAATTCTTGTTCTCATTATAACAATAAATAAATAAATAGAAAAAAAATACTACAGTGAAAGATTCAGTAAGGACAGTTGTCTCAAGTGCGAGTCGTTGTTCCTGTTCTATATCATAAGCAATGTAACAAAGTTTTTCCTTCATTAAACGCACTGTTTCGAAATCGGCTGAATGATTGAAGGCATATCCGCGTAACAGTAATAACTTAAATAAATAATTAAAGGAGCCAATATTTTTAAAATCTAGGAAAATCGAATTTAAAATAGACAACAAAAATAAATAATTTTGAATAATTTAGTACTAATAACTTACTTTAATCAAAAAGCGAGTAATATCACGACCAGCAATATCTAAACGTCGGGTTAAATGATTAAGGGCGAAACCTTGATACACTGGACAAATATGAGTGACTCCTTCGCCACTATCCACCACAACTCCAGTGAGGAGTCCTTGATGATACAAAGTGAGTACTGCCTAAAAAATGACTACGAAAATCTAATATATCAAGTTCTATTATATCTACTATAAAATATCTCAATTAAATCGACAGAAATTTTTCAAAAAAATGAATTAAATTAAAAATGAAAAATTAACAATTTCTTCAAGAAAGTTGCTCAAAAACTAACCTGGACAGCCACATATAACGAATGGAAACCATATTGCTCAAACATGACTTGGAAAAGCTTTTCTCGATTATCACTCGGGTTAAGAGGTGGTTCCGTCAAAAGCAATTTACATTCCTGCAAATTATCAGCAAATTTGCCAAATTTTCCATGTTTTAAAAAAAAGCGAAAAAGCACAAAATCAACGATTCTAAAAAACGACATCGAAGCTTTTAAAATATATAAAAGGTTTAAACCTTACTAAATAGTAAATACAGAATAACATCAGTTCATTCAATAACTGCAGTTTAAAAAATACTTAATAAATATTTAAAGACTTAAACAAAATGATTTTAAAAAATTTATATTTCATACTTTAGGATCAATATCTAGCTTTTCTGGGCCAAATGTATAGTCCCATACATGAGCCATATCATCCCAATTTCTTACGATTCCATTCTCCATAGGATAGCTACAGTTCAACATTTGTCTCAGTTGTGTACACTCTTCACCAACCATTAAATCCTTCAATAAATACAAATAATTTAGCTTTAACCACTAAATTTCCTAAATCAATTTAGGAAATTAGGGAAAATATTAAAACATTGAAGGTTAATAAAAAAATATTAAAATTAATCCAAAAAGTGGATTCACTATTAAGAGGATAAAAAAATTTTAAAACATTGCTTTTCGCTTATGAGGAATTATCAATGAATCAATAAAATAGAAAATACCTGAACATTTAAATAAATATTAACATTTCAAAGAATGGTAAATATTAAATTTCCAACCTTAACTTCTATATTGCCAACTTTCTGCGAATAACGTACTACGGGACGTCCAACAACTGACGGAAATATATGTGCAGGAAAATTTGAACCAGCATAACCACATTTTACAAACTGAAAATTTTGATTTTCATACATTTAAATCTTTAATAAAGTATAAATTTATTGATATTAATAAAATATTTATGGAAAATAACATTGTTTCTCTAATTTTTAAACAAATTTACATGAATATTTCAATATTTTTCTGTTTCCGACACTTGTTTTTCTATTTGAAATTTGAAATCTTATCAGATTTAAAATTCATTAGTGCATTCAAGAACTCTTGCTCTTACTCTTATTCTTTTCATAAATTCATATTTCAAAAAAAATATATTATTTATCTTTCTTCAGAAATTTGTAAATAAAAATAACATACGCCAGTTCCATTGTCAACCACAATTACTTTTCGACCATATGAATCCATAGAAAACTTTGAATTAAGCAAAAATTAAATCACCATAAAAGAACCTTATTATTTATGCAAATAAAAAACGCTTCACTGAAAAGCTACTTTTTTGCAGTAAGAAATTTCGCGTTATCCAGAATAACTGTGCAAAGACAATAAAATATTTATGGAAAATAATCTAATTATTATAAATTATTAGATACAATATAAGTTTATTCCTATCAAAAAATTAATGAAGCTAGAATGATCAAGTTCATGGTCGAAGCAATACAGATATCTGCCACCAAAACTGCAAGCACGAAGTTTGGAATGCAAGGATTATATTATTACATGGAAAAGGAATGAAATCGTGCTTGTCAGTTGGAGAAAGTAGTTAAAAGTTATTAGAATCAATTGAAATAAAAAAGTATCAAAAAGAATTAAAAAATATTCGTCAAATGAATATTTCACAAGAAATATAACAAAAATGAATTTCTTTAATTCTTTAATTAAATTTAATTCTTTAATTAAATTAAACAATTAATTCAAGCATCAAAAAAAAGCGAATAAAATAAATAAATATATATATATAAATATAATGATGAGAAAAATTCAAATTGGACGTTTTTTCACCAAAACTTGAGGAAATACTCAAAAAACTCATGAAAGGACATACCACCATTTTGATTTAAACAACACGAAGAACCCTAATAATATCCCCCCCCCTCCCTCCCATCATCCCCTTTTGAAACAATTCATCTCATACGAATGTTGTTGAATTGTGAGTGGAATTTGAAAATTCCACTTGAGACCAACAAAATCTTATCCAGCTTAATATTTGAATTGCGCCCGAGCTAAGTGCACTCTAACCGTAGTAGAGCAGATAACAAATTGTCGCCCAAACGCAATCCACGCAAGATCCACGTAACTGTGAGATGCCTAGGTCATTTAAACTGTTCCTAATGGCGAAATAATTTAGCATTTTCTGTTCCCACAATAGATGTACGTTAGTGGTTTACAGCATAACGCTTGTGACCAAAGCCACACTTGACAACGGAATTCGATAATCCTTAAGAACTAAACCAGGGAAGTACCTTTTTTCATAATCTTGAAAAATCTTAAAATCCTCAATTCTTCCCAACTTAAAACAAGGATATTCGATACGTTTTATTTTGCTTTGTGAAATCATTACGCGAATTACAAAAAAATTTACGTAAACAAAATAAAAAAAACAAAAATAAGGTTTACATTTAAATTTGTGAAATTAATCTAAAACATAGAGAAACAATAAAGAAATAAAAAATCAAACGAATAATACATAATTTCCCCGAGAATCAGAATATTTGCGCTTAAACCATTCCAAACAAAAAAAATTCAACAATTTATTAGAGAATACAATATGTAAACAGAAATTTTTGTGGAAATAAAGCTCTCACTTCGGTGCAAATTTCCAAAAATTTCTATTTTTTGAGCCAAATTGAAAATCCTGTCTTTTTAAAAGTACGTATTGATGTCGCAAAAACAAAAACAATATCATTGTGCAATTTATCGCCTAAAGCTACGAATGGAAAAATTATAAAATTTTACGGTTTTAAATCTATCTTTAAACCATTACTACATTTTAAATTTAAAGAATTCCAAAGGATTTCATACATTCTGAACCAACAATATAATATGGATTCTTACGAATATCATCTCACTTGTTTATCTCTTAACTATTAATAAATATAATTCATATTATTTCTCATATATAAATACTGGTAGCAACTAACAGCGCAAAAAATGTAATTTAAATAATTTAAATTTAAATAGCTTACCATACAGGGGAATGAAACGAACTGAATTCTAGACAGTGGCGAACGAAAGTATTATACATGTTAGAATCTTATAATCATTACCGTCATGTCATTATAACGCATTAGAAGCACATAAAAACGAAGTCATTGGAAATGACAATTTTAGGAATTTTTTAATTTTAATAAATATATAAAAAATGTCTTAAAATATACATTAGAAAAAAGAAACATAATAGGGTTTGCCTACGCAATAGAAAACTCCATTTAGAAAAAATTTCCCAATAATTAGTCAACTTATGGACCAATTAGTTAAAAAAAACCAAACAACAAAAGATAAAAATAAACTATGTGAATGAAACTAAATCCATTTTCATTTCACTTCAAAATTCATTCGCACGAAGATTTACTTGGACACTTTTTTGTGAAAAATTAATGAAAAACTCTTATAAAAAGAATTGTTGAATTAGAGGCCATTGTTGTTTAACAAATTCATTACCACTGCATGGATGCAAAGCTAGATGTCGAATTATCCGTTTTGTGCAAACACGTTGTCGTTGATCCCTGAATTATACCAAAAATTACAGCTATGAAAAGTCAATTTTTATTATTTTATTATACTTATTATGATAGTCCTTCCTTATTATTAAACTTAAAGCGATTCTTTATGTAATTTCCTTTTTGTTTAAAAAATACATTTATTTTATCAAGAATTCTTAATAATAGATAACATGAACAACTTTTTAGTACACTAGCATAAAATTTCAAACGTACTTTAGTCTCGGTCCAGCCAGAAACAGGAGCCTTTCGTCAACACCACTCCATCTACTATCGCCATGTGTTTTCTTAGTTAAGGACATGGATTTTCGATCAATGCCAACAACAGGAACATTTCGCGATCCCGATGCAGATGGTGCTGCTGTAGGCTGCCCTAATAAAGGAGAGTGAATGGAATTGATAGCAGCAAGTGGATTCGTAATATTCGGTGGCAAAGGAAGAGGTGGTACAGTTGCGACAGGTTTTACTTCTAAACTACGAAGTGCAGATCCTGAAGCCTTGCTTGGTGAAGCTTTGATAACACTTGGTGCACTTGTCTGTTGTGCTAGAGCGATCGGAACATTAGCTGGCAAGTTTTGTTGTTGTTGTTGCTGCGATGTCGCCATAGCTTTTGGTTGAATTCCAAGACACTTCAGATATTAAATACATAATAAATTTACCATTTGAAATTTTAGATTCAATTTAAATTCATTGCAGATAGTGTAAAAGAATAACACTTCCCTAAACTGGCAGTTACAACTATTTCTAAAAACACTAATATCATTTTCTTCAATATTTTTAGACAATTCCGTCTAAAAAAATTTTGTTCGAAGAAAAAATTCGAAATGCCAAGAAAAAGATAGAATAAAAAACTAAAAAATACAAAAGCTTTATTTACTATTGGAATTTGCAGTGATACAGCTGGATTAAATATTACAACAATATGATACAAAATAACGTCTAGGAATGTAAGGATAGCGAGATAATAAAGCGAAACTGGGATTCGACAAAACTGTGTTCGTATAAAAGATATATCAAATTATTTCAAATAATTTAAAAAAGAAAAATGTCGCTCCTCTTCAAGTTTTGAATCTCATTGTGTTAAGTAACCTAGAGAACGCTAAATTAGGAAAAAATATTAACTCTATTCATGCAGCGACTTCAAACTTGGTATAAAACTATTATTGAAAACAAAAATGTATGAAAGTAAAGTCTAAAAAGAGTGACAAAATGATTTGAACACTAAATGACTCTCATTTTCTTTAACTTCTTGGTTGTATAGGGGTCATAATGATAAAAAAACTAAAATTTAAGATAATCCTACCAAACTTACATAAAAAAGAAATAAGCCTGATTTTCCATCATTTGACCTTTCAAACCTACCTCCTAAAGCAGAATAGTTTGAAACTATCTTTTAACAAGAAGGAAAGAAGTAAAAATAACGAAAAATCTCAGCAAATTTTCGCAAACAACTGTTTCAGAATCTATAATCAAATAAAAAATGATAAGCAATGATACTGAACGATGGTCTTATAAACAGTTTACTAACATGAATAAAAATAAATAGACTCTTCGTCATATATCTTCCGGATTAACATCAAGTACCAGGCAAACAATCATTATGAATTAACGCATTTTCACCATTATTTTAACAACCTTAGTTATACAAGTTCAAAAAGCCAGTTCGTTCCTAATTTCTAATAAATAAGGAAGCCAAATTAAATAATTACCGTTTTTTTCCCGTTTGTTTTATCTGCACTAATATTTGGACGCTTCATTGCATTGGAAGATCCGAAATGGGATGCAGAAGAAATTATAGAAGCAGCTAATTGAGCGAGGAACGCATCTGGTATTCTTTTCGATTTAATTTGTTTCGCAGCCCGTATTATTTCTATTGGTTGACGAGTGGTACCTATATTAAAGAATTAATAAGAAATAGGTTTAACTACGACAATCACAATCAGAAAACGATTGAGATTAAAAGAGTGGTACACAACAAGAAAAAAGAAGTTACATCTTTAATTAGTAAAATCAGCTAAATAAGAAATACCTCTCTAAGAACAGTACCAATTAAAAAATAAAAAAATGTTTACAATATTGCTTGATGGCTTGCCCATTGATTGCCAAAAATGGACGTCGAGCAGAACGACGAACGTTTAAGAGAGTCTTCGGAGCCAAACGACGAGCAATCCTTGTTGAAAGAGTAGTATTAAGAAAAAAAGCAACTCTTGTTTTTGCTGGTACTGCAGCAATTGCAGTTTTGGGTTGAACTCCCATAGCAAGTTGTGCTGAAGCTGGTAAACGAGCGACGATCTGACCACCAGATGGTCTTAAGGCTATTCCACCATTTCGGCTTTGCTAAATGTAAATAAATTAGCGTACTATAACAGGAAATATTAGTCCTTATTGGTAGTATAATAATCCCTTCCCATTTCATGATTTCATTTTTAAAGTAATTAAATTAAAATCATAAAAAAAATTCATAAGACTATAAGAAGCAATATGACTTGAATATCAATTTTTAAAAACAAGAAAAAAAAGGGATTCACTCAACCTGTGTAGCAACACTGGTTGTTACTGATTTCGCTACGATTGGTGGTGCTTGGAAGTTCAAGGCAACACTTTTCACTGAGTGATTCGAATTGAGCGATGAATTCGAATTTTCCTGAGTAGAAGAACCGTCAAGGTCGTATGATTCTGGAAAAAAAAATTTTTGATTTCATAACTAATCAACTTCAATCAGAAAATGAACAAGAAAGTGATTATTTGTTCAATTTATTAATCCTATCACTTCACATTAAAATAAACACCATAATCATGAGCTTTTCTCAATCCACCATATTTTTTCCAGTGGATCCAACATTCACTGCATAACCGCAGCTGAAGTTGTGCAGGTCCCCAAGCGTACCACTGAGCCGAGACTTCAGTCTGTAAGAAGTATATTTAGCCTATATTGAAGAATTTGATCTATATTTTTTCTAATCTCCATATTTTTTTAGATTAATTTTTATTTTTCTAGAACTGTTTTTTCAATTTTTAACTACTTTTTTTATTTTTTGCCTATTTTATTCAACACCAACAAATGGTTTTTTGCCCATAGTTGATTCAGGGTTGAAATAAATAAAATATAACCTGACAACTCTCACAACTGGATATTCCTTTCAGTGGCTGTCCGCTAGGGTTTGGTGGGCCCACAAGATTTGGGTTAGGCTTATTATAATTAGGTATATAGACCTGAAATATTTTCGTAACAAATCGTATGGCTGATTCGTTCATTGTTATTTTCTAGATGAAAAACTAGAAAACCTCAGAAATAACCAAATATGATATTTTAGATAGAAAATGAGATATAAAAGAAAAAATCAACCTGCTTGAGTTTGCTTTCTTGATCAAGCGCTTTATTTTTCTTCACTTCTACATAGCGATTTGTTGTTTTCCACATATAATAATATTCAATAATATCTCGCAAAGATTTCCACGGAAGCTAGAATGAGGAGAAAAAATTTTTATCGACCACGTCATACTTCATTTAAACTGTCATAAATAAGATAATCTGCTACATTAACCTAAGATTTTTTATAATGAACTTTAATTTTTATTTTAATCAGAAACCTTGAATTTTTCGGATTGTTTTTATGAACCTAAGTAAAAGTTATGTGTCTATATTTTTCATGAATGTATAAAGTTCAATCGAAGTAATCCATTTCTAGTGTCTAAAATGGACCACCGAACCAAGTTAAAATATTTCTCTTCCTTTATATTTTCATTGTTGCTTTTTTTGCGACAAAAAATTTTTCTTTTTTTCACGTTTCCTGCCTGTTGCTGTGATAAGTTATCACGTTATAAAAGTTACAAAAGTCTGAATAATAATGTGACCTGATGTAAAACCATTTTAATTCATTTACTTTCTCTCTCATCCTCTTTTAAATTTTTTCGTAATTGCCTTACAAAAATAGCAATAGCAAATATCTTATAAAAAGTTGCTTCCGTATTGACCAAAACACCACTCCATCATTCATAATCATTTCTCACAATCCCTTTCTTTTTGGACTGTTTTCCGATGGGCAATCCAATAAGTGATTCAAAAAACAATTTGGCAACAATTTGATATATAAAACTCTTATTTTATTTGCCTGATACCTTCTTCAAATCCTAGTACAACCCTTAACATTTTCGTACTCCATTATATTCCTTCCGTTTTGCTCTCACTAAATCGTAATTATACTACCTTAAAATCTTCCTGTACTCCTTAATATATACTTAACTCTTTATTTATTCTTATTTCCCCAGTCCCTGTCATATTCTCTTACCATTTCTCTCCTCTTCCATTTACTATCTTACAGATGAGATTTCGCTCTCGCAGTTAATTAAAGAAACACGAGTGTTGAATGAACACAGAAGTTTGCCTCAATTATAACTAAGATATAAGATTGATGAGATGTACAAAATGTAAAAAAATAAAACAAGCCATTCTACTCATTTGTAGCACGAGATTCTAGTTAAGAAATTAAAATGTGAATTTTGCAACAACAAATTGCTTTTTTTTGCTAAAAACAGCTAGTAAAAACTGTTCAATTTCGTAAGAAAATAAATATCCTACTTCAAAAATGAAAAAATTTGCTGGTATGATCCTCTTTAAATCCCTATAATCCATCATCTAGTTTTTTTTCGCAGCAAAAAAATGAATTTTTAAAATATATATATGAAATCTTATATCATAAAAAACGTACATAATCGGCTCGAATATCATTGAAATCTTTGCCATATTTATCAATGGCTTCTTCAAATAAATTTGCTTCAGCAGCGGACCACTCTTCTATTTGATCACTAAATTGGTCTTAAAATTAATTTCAACAGTTTATATTCTTATGAACGCAGCTCTGATCTCTTAAACAAATTCATTTGCAAAAAAACGAAAATGTATTCATAAGCTGCAAAAACTTAAAAAACTCAGAATTCTAAATGTTAATGTTTTCAAAAATTCCTTAATACGCCTTTGTAATGAATTTCTTAAGGAAATATTCAAATATCATAAAAATCTAGCAAAATTAGGAAAAATTAAAATTTATCAAAATCTTGCCGACATAAAATTGGACCACCAAGACTGACAGTATGATGGGTTGTCGTTTTGTCGGCATCCAGAGGATAATGTTGCTTACTAGGAGGTGGAACAAGGTACTTAACCGCCTAAAATATAGAAATTACAAATGAATAATTTTTTATTAATATAAACCGTGGATTACAATTTTACAATTACAATTTTTTAGAAAATTATAATTTTTTAATACTCTTGAAGAGCAGAAAATCAACTTTTTAAATTAAAAACAAAACAAAAAGGATAATTCTTAGCGAAACCTAAGTTTAATCATTTACCTGCCCGAGATCATAATTAGCTTGGTGAAGTAAAGCCATAGCATGAAGAAGAGTAACGTCGCGACTAGCTGCCGCAGCTGTCATATGAAGTGAAGGAAGTTTAACAGATGAAGAAGTGTCAAGGGCCCGCGAAAAAGTACCTACCGCTCTATAAAAAAACAAAATCAACTTAGAATAAACCAAAAAAATCAAAATTGAATCGAAAACCTTAATTTAGGCCAATTTAAAAAATTAAATCGTTAATATGTAATAAAAAATTCTGAAATTCCTGTGCATAATATTGATGATGATGTAACCTTGCAACGATGAGAAACTGATCAATATCTCTATCTGTTAAAGAATGATATGGATGATAGACAAGTACTTCACGATCTGTAGGTGATAAATCTCGTTGAAAAGTGGCTCCATCAGCAGATTCTTCCGTGCTTCACAAGAACTTATTTATTAGGATCGAAAAAGTGAAACGTGAAAGAAAATGAAACGTTTTTTGCAAAATAAGAGAAAATACCTATTCTCTTTGTTTTCTTCTTTTACTATTGGAACTCCGTCATCAGGCACAAAGCACTGATATTTATCACCAACTCTAATCTCTCCTTTGTCAGCGAGTAAAGTCATCGCTACTGGATCATAAACAAGTGAGTAAAAAAAAGCGTCCTGAAACTGGTGATAGGCATCCAGAATAAGCAATAAAAAAATCAGATAAAAATCAGATATAAAAAAATCGGACTTTATATTCATGTATTAAATTAAAACAAAGAATATGAACATGAATTAAATAATTTAACTCACTTCACGATCCATATAACTTTCAGGCGACTCAACTTCACTCAAAAGTGTGACAGAACACTTCCCTCTAATATGTGTAGCAGGCAATGCTTCAGCTTGTCGTGATAAAAATACTTCGTGCTGCCTAAGTGAAATTTTATTGCAATCTCAACTAAATAAGGAAAAAACTGAAAAATTAAAAACTGAAAAAACTGAAAAAAAACAAAAAACTGAAAAATTAAAAAAATTCATAATTTTTAAAATAATCGAACAAAAGAATGCATAAAAGAAATTTTTTTTGTGAAAAATTACTTATTCTCTTTTAAAAACAAAATAATGGATAGAGCGCAAAATTTATTCAATTTGTTTTCCTAAATTCAATAAACTGCTATTAATCTTATCAGTACCGATTATATTAATGCAAAACCTTAATATATGACGTTCATGTGGAGTAAGATTTTCAGATCCAGTTGGCAATCCAGCAATCCCATATCCGCCTTCACATATTTCTTTTTCACTATCACTTTTTTGATCTGAAAAATAAACATATTTTTGATGCTCAAAGGAATAGAATGTAGCAAAATTTTTGAACAAAGGAGCAATTTACTGAAGTAAATTTCCACCGAAGAAATATTTGGATAACAACCTATATTTTAAATAAAAATGAGAAGTTCTTAACAGGAAAAATATGCTTGTGACGTGCCAAGCAAGATTACATATTTTAATACTCAACAGTTAACATAATTAACAATTTTAGCTATATTAATAACTGCTATATTCCAGAATAATTACCCTGAGAAGTTTCTTCTTCATCTTCTTGCTCTTCTTGCACATCAACTTGCATAGGTCTAGGTGATTCGCTATCTTCACGAGTCTTCTCTGTTGTTTCACTAGCACTGTTATCCATTTCTTTACTCCCTAAAGAAATTATGATTGTTAAATTTTTGAATTTCTCTTCGAGCTGAAAAAAAAGGCGAATCAGATGAATTAATAAATCAAAAATAAAATCCAAATAACTCAGAAAAGAAATAGTAGAAAACGCAAGCAGCGACACGAATCACAGCGAACCATTAAAACTTACCATCACCTGTAGAAGAGGCAGAAGAAATTAAATCCATGTTTCCATTAATATCGGCTATATTCGAGGATGGTAACGCTAACCGTCGTTTTGAGTTCACAGAATTTCCTGAAAATTTCAGATGGATATTAAGAATTTTTTAATCTTAAAGATGAAACAAAGTCCGAAATAAAATATGCACTAAAATGACAGCTAACCTGAACCGAATCTTTCGGCTTTGTCCGCAATTTTCAAAAGGGCACGAGGAATGTCTCTACGACGATAAAAGCTTGTCACCTTCGCTTCAACATTCCCAGATGAAGTCTAAAATACAAAATATTTTACTTTCCTTAAAAAACCTCAACAATCAAGTTTAATCCTTTTTTTTATTTTGTAAATTATTATAAATCAAAAACTATAAAATAAACCTTGTTTAACTCTTCAATTCGTCTAACTTGAAAAGGTGCCGAACTCGATAGTTCAAAATAAACATAATCTAAATCTTTTCACAAATTAGAAGATAATTAATAAGACTGCGAACAATGCTCAAAGACAGACTTATGTTTTTGCCAACTGACCATGTTTTTTGAAAGCAAAGAATAACAAAAATCGCGAATCGTAATCGAATCAAAAATGAAAACAAAAAAACTTAGCTAATAAAATTTTTTTCAAAGAGTCCTCACCATTACTGGTTAAACTCGCTCCACTGGCTTGTCGCATTGGGCAATATGCCAGAGAGTCGCTTGGCGACAGAAGCACGGATGAATCGCCAGCATCAGGCGGATTTTTGGAAGATCTGCTCCTGCGGAGAGCAGAATCGTCTCGCGCCAAGAAAAATACCTATCCTCCTCTCCCCCAAAAAATGAAAATTTGGCTAATAACTATCCGCAGAGAGTTTATTCTTTTCTAAAATTCAACAGAAAGCACCTCCAACTCGGTACATATTTTGCGCCATTGCTGGAATTCAGCTTCACCGAATCTTCCGAAGACAAAAACGAAGTGCCCCACTGAACTGCAACGAAAGTGCAACGGAATCGATCGAACCAAACTGCGAACTGCAAGCAGAAGAAAAATAAAAACACCACCGGGCGCACAGCGGAGAAGCGAGCATTTCTTCGAATTTCGCGTGGATTAATAGTGCAAAAGATGGCAAATAAAGTGCAAAACGACTTAGAAATTTACAAGGAAAATTAATTCTGAAAAATTTTTGTTAAAAAAAAAGTTTCGAAAGCAAAATTTTCTTCGAACAATCAGCCAACCCTAATATGCATAAACACTGAAAAAACACATAAAAAACGATTGCAAATCTGTCGTCTCATTGGTTGGCAACAATCGACGTCTAATGCGCAGCTTTCAGCGGCTGAAAAAAATAGAGCCGAAGAATTCGATCGATAAATTTGCATTAAACGAAATATTTCGTGGCAATTTTCGTGAAGCATTTGTTAGAATATTTGCAGGATACCAAAGAGCTAGTAGCATCTCCTTTGGAGTCACGTGGTTCTGGTCCTCGATTCGACAACTTGTCTAGCATTTTAGTACACCTAAGGGTCAAAATAGAGATTCGTCGAGAGTACCATGCAAACTTTTACCAGATTTACTTGTGGAATAATAGGAGAATGACTTAGAACAATAAATGAATATTTTTTAATCTTTTTCTAATGTATTAAATAATTTTTGGCCAAAAAATTTGGCTGAGTCCTTTGACGATTTAAATGCGAGGATCGCTGTCCTAAAGAAATTGCTCGAATCCGCAACAACTGTAGTCGCTCTCACAAGATTGTAGTTTTGCTCTCTCAACACTCTTCGGCTTAGGCTATGAAGCTAAACCTGGATTCTAATGTGATTCCTGCTGGTGAAGAAAATGATTCTTTGGAACAATAAATTTTTGATTCTTCAAATCACCATTCTTTCCGTTAATTATTGCATTCGTCATAAATATTAGTTAATTGGATTTACGAACCTTTTGGTTTTTTTAGCAAAAAAATTTTTTCCATCCTAATGTCGCGAAACGGCGAAAGCAAAAGGCTGCCTTGAGATCGGCTTGCTTCCACCCCTTTTTAGGCATCGCTTGTGGGGCTTTTATGTTCATTAGGCTATTCGTTGGCATCGCTAGATCATCTTTTTATATTTTTCATATTCCATTGGCCTTTTTTGCTTTATTTATAGGTATAATTGTATATGTATTTGAATCTTTTTTGCTGAATCGTTATTTTGATATGCCACTAAACTCTGACACTTTGAACTCATGGAAACTGCCTTGTCGTCCTCCGTCTCATTGATTCTTGACTATTCGGCAATTAATTTATTGAAAAAGCAAGCTAATTAACTGCTGGTTCGAATCCATTTTCTATTTTTATGACCTGTTAGTAACCTGTTGCTTTCGCTGATCCGCAACACTTATATTCCTCTAATTTTTCCGTGATTATTGTCAGAAGCTGACGGAACTTCCTTCTGAGCTATTCTTCTTCAAATATTTCTTCTTTGGTTGCTTTTTCTGACTAAAGGCATAGGAAGACAGACCCTTTCGTCGCTTAAACATTCTGTCCAATAGACCATAGAATGAATACATTATTATATCAATAAAAGTTGTCGGTAGAAGTACAGATGAGCCCTCAGCAGTGCCGGATGTCGTTTTTAGGGACAAGTTTATTCGTGTTGTTCTATGTTGGCTTCAACTTGGTCAAAGCGACACGCTACTCGACTATTTTATCTTCTTAACTTTCAAAATTTGTTAAATTATTCTGAAAATCGCTATAATTTTTTCTTTGTCGCGAGAATTAAAAAAAAAACGAATTAATCTAAAAACCACACAATATTCCGTTATCTCCATAATGTGATTCATACTCAATTAATATTTTAATGTATTTGTTGTTGATAGCAAATTCGGATATCAAAAATTTCTTTCACTCTGAGGTAAAAATTTTGAAAATGGAAATTTTCTTTAATTTCTGTTTTCGAGTTTTTTTTTATTTTTATTTATTTTATTATTTTTATTATTTTATTTCATTATTTTTTATTATTTTACTGATTTTTATTTATTATTTTTTATTATTTATTATTTTATTATATTACCTTATTTTTTTTATTTTTTTAATTTTTCACTTTAAATAGGCAAATACACAAACCATCAATACAATTAAAATTGGTAGTTTATAGGTTTTTCTAAGATATTTTTTTGCTGCATGAATATATGAAAGAGTGGGAAATAAACGAATTTTATTACGAAATTTGCAAATCTATCGAATAATAAATATTTGAATATCGTTAAAATATACGGAAAATGAACATTTTTTGTTTTCTTTAAATTGCTTTTTGGAACGTTTTTTTATAAATTCTAAAAGTGCTTTAGAAATGAAATTGCTACTAAAAGTAAAAACTTGAAAACAAATTTGACAATAATAATAATTGAATTTTTCAAGAAATGAGAAAAAAGTAAACGAAATCTTCAGGATATTTAGGAGAAATATAAATCCATAAAAATTTAAAATGGGATAAGGAATAAAAGAGAAAATTCAGCCACATTTTGCGACTAGATTTTGGATTTGCTGAATATCTTCCAGGATTCCATCATCTTTCTCCTTTATATTTTTCACGTCATTGAGAAATTTTATAGCCAATAGCTTTTTTATATGCACAGCACCGAGAAAGGTACAGTAAATTATACAATAAGCCCATGCAAATGGCGCTCGTTTATTCGCCTGAATCATGCACTCTTTCAGATCCAAATGTTGCGAATAGGATGGAAGACTTTTTTTTTAAATGAATTGGTTAGTTTTCAATAAATCAATAACATTCTTAGCTTCTGGTGAATTCAGGTTCTCAAATCCCATATAACTTTTTTTTTATTCGTTAAAGTGTTTTATTACAAAGTTACTTCATTTATTTTTTTACTATTTCTATTTAATTATTTATTTGCTCTAATATTTAAGACGAGGAAAAAGTCGCGCTCTGATATCGGAAACAAAGGACAACCAAAATATATCTCCGAAAAACCAGCTATTGCTTCATCAACCGTACATTCTGGAACCTTTGCAAAAAAGATATTGCATAATTTTCGTTCCAACCATGATAAATTAATCATTTCATAAGCAAAACCACGTAGTTGAAATAGACTGAAATCATTTGCATTTTTTGCAATTGCTTTATACAGTAAATCCTGGAAATGGGATTTCAAGAAGATAGAAGAATGGTGGAAAAGTTTATAAATTTTTTTTACTCATTCACATAATTCAAGTGCATAATCCTTGCAAAACTCAAAAATTTATTATAAATTTGAATAAATTTATATTCATAAATAAATTTTCACAAAAAATTTTTTTCTATGTCTGATAAGAGAAAATGCTTTTATTTGTTGAGTGTTGCTCTAAAAATACCTGAAATTCAATTTTTATGTTTTCTGTAATAAATTTAGAAAAAATCCTTAAATAATTTGCCTTGTTCAACTCTTTCCTTAGTTTTTAGATAATCAATTGTATTTCCAACAAGGATCGCTTTTCAACGCAATGCTTCGAAATTATTCTCACTGAGTTCGCACGCAACATCAGCCCAATTTCGACCTTTGAAAAAAAAGTTATTTGCGCACTCATAAAATCCAATAAAGAGGGGAATTCTCCGAATCCACTGGTATATAAAAATCCATTACCCATTGGTATATAAATCTATTGGTATATAAAAATCCGAATCCATTGGTATATTGGTATATAAAAGCATACGAGCTCAGTTTACTCGACTGATTTCATCAAAATTCATCTTTTAAATGCGAAAAACCATTGAAACAGAATTGCAACTAGCTTTCATAGATCGAGAATATCAGTCAATATTCATTCTGTAATCACGATTTGATGCAATACGAAAAAAACAAAAAATGTGAAAATTTTTCAAATCAGAAAATAAAACAAGGAGACAGAGAAATAAATTTTCAAATTTTTTACCTTTCTTTTCAAATTAGAAAATTTTCTTTTTTAAATTTTTAAACTCTTTTTTTAAATTAAATGGTTTAATCTTTTAAAACTGATTTTACTGGATGAAGTGAGATGGCACCGTGTCAGCTTTGTGCAGCAGGGTAAATTTTAAAAAACTGATTTAAATGATATTTTCGCTTGCATTAAACGTATCTTTAGTATGCAAATCTATAAATCCCATTTTAAAAAAAAGTTTTCAAATGCAAATTTTTGTTTCACCAAAAGCTCCAAATTTCAAGATTTGCTTGTTTTTTTTTAATTTGCCAAAAAAATCGAAAATCATTCATATTACTAATTTAAGCATCTGTTGGTCTTATCTTAACATTTATTTTCAAAGTTTTTGTTTTCTACTCATTCTTTTAAACTGCTGAGGATCTTATGAAAACTTTTGATCATGTAGATATCAATCAATCCTTTTTATTAATTTATTAATTCATAAATAAGAACCGAGCAGGGTTTGCGGCCATGCGTTTGGCTAGTGGCCTACAATAAGAAAATGGGTATGATGAAGCGAGAATTAAAAAACACAATAGTAAAAGAAAAAAGATGATGGAAATATGACAATAACACGAAAAAATTGGAAAATTTTTTACGAACATTTACATCAACTTTATTGAATTTTTATCATAGGTAATATTTTTCAAATGTTTGTGAATTTTAGGTATGTATCTACCGCATAATGGTCGGAATTTTTTTACCAATGTTCTGCAAGGTTAATTATAAATAAAGAAAGTCGAACAATCCGACTCTGTTACAAAACAAATAAAAATATTCAGTGGCTTCGTGAAATCCTCTTTAGTTAAATGCGAAATTCTACAAATCGATTCAAAAGACGGTTATGTTTTCTTGATATTGAAAATATATCGTTGATATTCGAAACCCAGAAGTTTTTTATGAAAATGACTTTGGTCTCTAAGACCTCTGAAGACCTTTTAAAAATATCGATGATAGCATTGCTCTAGAAACTAATTTAAAATGAATTTAAAGCGAAATCAAGAGAAATAATTGAAATCAGCTCCACAAATACTTTTTCATCATAAGTTTAAACTTTGGAAAATTTTATCAGTTAATTTTCATCAGAAATATTTGTGAAAAAAATAAAATATTAGCATTCGAAAGCCACAAAAAATATGGAAATTTGCGATATATAGGCATTCATTCCATCTTGATTATGCAATTTTATCACGAATTTTTCACGAACTTGAATTTGCATTTATTCCACGAAGCATTGTGAAAACCCTTATTTTCTAGGCGTCTAGAGTCAGAATGGTCGAACGATATATTGCTTTGGCTAAGGTCATGGCTGCTTCCTGAAAAAGTGAATGATGTTGATTCAAGCGTAGCTAAATGAGCAAGTGGTGAAGACCCATCTATACTTCTAACTCAAAATTTCTATGGTGAGGCAGTATCATCTATGTCCTATATTTATGTATACAACTCAACCAATCATTTAAGAATTTATCATGCATCATAAACCACAATTGACTGATAACAATAAAACAAATTTCGAAACGTTTTCAGACGATAAATCGACTAAATGAAGGAACAAGAAATTTTTTCTTCCATAAAAATCTATTTTTTTAATAGTATTTTCGAGTTATTGAAGTGATAAAAATAAAAAAGCATTGTAAATTTCAAATTGCACATTATAAATTATTGAAGCATAATTATGAGTTTCGTTTTTATGCAACAGGCCTAAACAAAATGAAAAAACAGCAGAATAAAAAAAAATGGAAAAATGAAGAAAATTGGAAAAAATATATCGGGGTCAACTATCACCTGATGGTACTGTAATTTAATTCAAAATGATCTTTATTATTTTGAAACGAAAAAAATGGATCATTAACATATAACAAAAATTTGATTGATGAGTTATTATGGCTTGGCGGCGCAAAACTTAAGACCTTCGGGAACAAAAAGTTTGTTTTTTTCTTAGTAAAAATTTTCGATAAGCCAATAAGCGAAGATATTTTCTAAATGAAGATTCTTTTAAAAAAATTGCTAATAATTCTATTTCATTCTATTCTCCAGTTTCATCGAAATTCTATTTACAATCATATAGCAGCAAAAAATAAATATAATATTACTTTTGAAAGTATAAATATGTTTTTATTTTTATTATATATATATATATATATACATACATTTATATATGAGGATAGAATGGCTCAGTGCTTGTGCTCGAGTGGGAGCGCCAATGCTTAGCTTCGATTCCCAGCAGGAATAAACCTGTACAAAAATCCGGGTGGTGCTGGCAACTCACCTGTATTTCTATCGCCGAGAGACTCCCTGGCATATTGTTCAATGTGACAAGCCAGTGAGCGAGTTTAACCAGTAATGGTGAGGATTCTAAAAAAAATATATATATCATGCATATTCGGTTTGAGTGCAGCCGTCATCTTTCCAACAGAGGCCCTTGGATAAAGTCTTTGGTGATGGTACTTCATTTCTTTGACCTCTAAAGCTTATCCATCCTACCATGAGAATATCACTAAAGCGATATCGACATAGCCTTCGCCCGAATTAATAAGTTTTTCGTCAAATGATGAGGGACGACTGATAAAAAATGATATAATGGAATATACCAGATGGAATATTATTTTAATAGTAATCTTAATGAGAGGGAATGTACTAAACCTATGAGAAAATTAAAAGTGGACAAGAGACATTCACACTAACTGAGAAATCATTCTTATAACTTGACATAAGTCTGCATACTGCAAACATACTAAACATAAAAAAACGATGAATTACCAACAATCCGAAGTAAGATCAAAGGAGATAAATTAGTCAACTGATATAACTGTGGAAGGAGGGGATTAAAGATAAGAACTCTTACCCCATTAGAAGCCTTGACTGCCAAACAAAGGCTCACAACAATGGCCATCAGGTTGATGAGGTCCAGAAGTAGAGGCCAAAATAATAAATGCCCTCTCCTCCAGAGAATCATTCGAGGCGCACTTCCAAGTGCAGTGTAACAACACAAGAAACAAGTTTTTTTAAGAGCCCTCACCATCACTGGTAAGATTCGCTCTGCTGCCTTATCATACTGCTTTTATGGTTTTAGTTTTATTTTTATTAAAATGCAATTGTTTGAAGGTTAATGTTATTGTACGTGATCAGACAGAATGTTATGAATGTTTACCTAAATCTGAACAAAAGTCATATCCTGGTTGTACTATTCGGAATACTCCATCTGAGCCAATTCATTGTATAGTATGGGCGAAGCATCTTTTCAAGTAATTTTTCATTTTACATCTATCAAGTTTTTTGCCGTTTCTACGATTTTTAAATTTATGTAGCCGAAATCAGATATCAGATCACTCACAATCTCTCTAAAAAGCTATTTTTATTCCTTGTTCAAAAAATTTGCCTTTTCTTTCCTCTATGAATTTGTTGAAAATTTCGAATTTTTTCTTAGAATCTTTTTGAATTAAGTTTGTTAATTTGTTGATATAAAAAGCAAGGCAGATTAGGTTTTGTGCCTGTATTGCGAAATAACGAAATAAAGAGAAAAGCGAATAAAAAATATTAATTGCAAAAGGGGATTGAAGTAAAATTATTGAAGCTATTTATAATCAAGAAACCGTGGATTGATAAAGGTTCTTCATGAGGTGATGCGCTTGCAATTTTGGGGAATATTGCGGTATTCCTTAAAAATAAGATTCCCAGTATCCAAATTTAATCCTCTAACAGAATTTCTTCTTGAAGCTGGCAAACCTTAGTTCGATCGGTTATTCTCGGCTTTCTCTCTCAAAATGATTTCTTGAAAAAGGCAGATGAGAAAAATTTTTGCTCATGGGCGTCCATGCAAGAAAAATATTAAGAAATCTTGGTCTACAGAACATCTGCGTAAGAGCTAAACTAATTCCATAGAAAATCGTGGAGAATAAGCACTAAGATCTTATGGAAGTTCGCAATCCAGAACAAGCACATCGTAGCAATAGACAAGAGCCAGAAAACAGCAGTGGGTAGCAGTAGTAGTAGGTAATGTAGCACTACTAAATGACAGGAAAATCAGAAGGAATATAAGAAGCAAGAGAAATACCAGCGCCCAAAAGAACTAGAGAATAGAAATAAATAGAAAGTATGTTATAAAGTATGTAT